AACCTTGTCATCAGAGTGAGGAACCTTGTCCTCAGTGTGAGGAACCTTGTCCTCAGAGTGAGGAAGCTTGTCCTCAGAGTGAGGAACCTTGTTCACAGAGTGAGGAACCTTGTTCACAGAGTGAGGAACCTTGTCGTCAGTGTGAGGAACCTTGTCCTCAGGGTGAGGAACCTTGTTCTCAGAGTGAGGAACCTTGTCCTCAGTGTGAGGAACCTTGTCCTCACATTGCGGAACCTTGTCCTCAGAGTGAGGAACCATGTCCTCAGAGTGAAGAACCTTGTCCTCAGTGTGAGGAACCTTGTGCTCAGAGTGAGGAACCTGCCTTCAGAGTGAGAAACCTTGTCCTCAGAGTGAGGAACCTTGTTCTCAGAGTGAGGAACCTTGTCCTCAAAGTGAGGAACCTTGTCCTCAGAGTGAGGAATCTTCTCCTCAAAGTGAGGAACCTTGTTCTCAGAGTGAGGAACCTTGTTCTCAGAGTGACGAACCTTGTCCTCAGAGTGAGGAACTTTGTCCTCCGAGTGAGGAACCTTGTCCTCAGAGTGAGGAACCTTGTCCTCAGAGTGAGAAACCTTGTCATCAGAATGAGGAACCTAAACTGTGTTAGTATTCTGTATAAAAAGTGCCGTAGAGTAGTTTTACTAACCAAGAGAATATTTTTTACAATTGTTTTTTGCAAATGTTTCGGACTTTGTATTTTGCCATCGCGTGACCTTCTTTGCCTTTTATCGTAATTCCTTAAATATTCGATCAGTATGCACATCATGTGCTACCTTGCTAATGATTTTGATAATACGTTTTTGAAGTAGAACAAGGCGGTCTAAATTGGAAGGATATGTCGATCCACAGACAGTATACTATACAGTATTCAAAAATCATTAATAATGCATGAAGCAATTATCCAATATTGAGTAAGAAATTAGTCACGTGGATACGTCTTTATACCAGCTAAAAACATTTTAACAAAAGACAATTGTTATGCAAGCTATATAAAGATTTTTATATAAAGATTTTTATATAAAGATTTTTATATAAAGATTTGACTTATTATGAAAACGTTCTTGAAGCCATTTAATAATCTCTCACAGGTCGTGTTTTATTAGGTTTAAAGCCACCAGCGCGCAGCGCGAGTTTGCTCCTGCTCGTTTTTTAAATAGTACTTGAAGATGAGGAGATAAACAAGACAATAGTAGAGTGTACGTAAAGATGATAAAAAAGGCATGATTCCGAAAGATTTAGAATTTTTGTTTGCCCCAGTACATGCGAAATATAAGCTTTCCAAGGTATTTGTTCATCTACTAATATCACTCCCAAGAACAGGACTCCTTTTGCCTTTATTCAGTTTATATGGTTGTTCTCACTTCTATGGACAAGTCCACAGTTAATACTTTTTTGTCCTGGTTTAAAGATCAAATATTTAGATTTAGAAAGGACCTCTTCCCTTTGTATTCAAAGTGCCCTTGCTTTGGCCATCGAAGCGCGCCTTTGCCTTCAAAGGGACTTTTCCATAAATAAAGGCAGCGATGGTTGCAACATCCTCCGACCCTTGGGCAGCCGTACCAAGCTTCGAATGATTGTAAGAAAAGAGGATTTTGCTTGTTACAGTTTTGAACAACCTTTGCCTTAGAAAAGCCTTCCGCTTTTGCTTCTGTCATCGAAGGGTCTTCGCCTTCAAAAGTGCCCTTGAATTTGCCTTTGCCATCAACGGGACTTCAAAGTGCCCTCCCCTTCGCCATTGAGGGGCCTTTGCTGTCGATAGACCTTTCCCTTTGCCATCAAAGGGCCTTTGGCATCGAAAAGCACCTTTACCATCAAAACGCCTTTGCCATCGTAGGGCCTATTCCTAAGTTTAATGCTTCAAACTACACCATCGCTTTAACCGCGGCATCATCCTCTGACCCAGCCGTACCAAAATTCGTATGATTGTGAGAAAAGAGGATTTTGCTTGTTAGTTTCGACGTTTCGAACAAACTTTGCCTTTCCTTCCAAAGGCGTTTTGCCTTTGCCTTCAAAGTGCCCTTCTCCTTTTGCAATCGAAAGGCCTCTGCCATCGAAGGGTCTTTTGCTTTCAAATTGCCCTTCCCTTTGCCTTCGCAGGGCCTTTTCCTTGAAGCCAACAATCATACATGTATAATGCTTCAAACTACTCTATCGCTTTAACATCTGCAACAACCTCCAACCTAGACTCTCCAGTAATGCAACTTCCTCCGACTCTGCTTTACCAAGACTCGAGTTTATTTGAGAAGAGGATTTTGCTTGTTACAGTTTCGGAGAGACTTTGCCTTTGCTTCAGCGCCTTTGCGATCGAAGGCTTTGCCATCGAAGGGACTTCACCTTTAAAGTACCCTTCCCTTCACCTTCGCAGGGGCTTTGCCATCGAAGCGCCTTTCCCTTTGCCATCAAACGGACTTTGCCTTCAAAGTGCCCTTTGCTTAGGCCATCGAAGGGCTTTTTCCGGCAAAGCGTCTTCAAAGTGCCCTTGTATTTGGCATCGAAGGGCCTTTCCTTTCAAATTGTCCGTCCCTTTGCCTTTGAAGGTCCCTTTCTTTGAAGCCAACAATCATACAGGTATAATGCTTCAAACTACTCCATCGCTTTAACCGCTGCAACATCGTCCGACGTAGACTCTCTCCAAGTCGGAGGATGTTGCAGCGGTTAAAGCGATGGAAAAGTGGAGCGTTGGCTTCAAGGAAAATGCGTTTCGAAGGCAAAGGTCCTTCGACGTCATAAGCCCTTGGATGTCAAAGGCCCTTTGAATTGAAAGGCGAGGGCACTTTGTAGGGAAAGGCACTTCGATGGCAAAGGCCCTTCAATGGAAAGTCCCTTCAATGGCAAAGGCCTTTCGATGGCAATAACAAGGGCACTTTGAAGGCAAAGGCTCTTCGATGGCAAAGGCCCTTCCATGGCGAAGGCTAGGTAGGGCAATTTTGAAACCAAAGGCAAGGCTCTTAGAAGGCAAAAGCTATAGCCCTTGGAAGGCAAAGACCGTTCGAAGGCAAAGTCCTTATGAAGATAATGGCAAAAGCAGTTCGAAGGCAAAAGCAAAGGCCCGTCCAAAAGCAAAGTGTGAATTTACTCAGAATACCTGGAGTCTTGGTACGGCTGGGTCGGAGGATGTTGCATTACCAGAGATTCTAGTTCGGGGGAAGTTGCTGCGGTTAAATCGATGGAGTAGTTTGAATCTTTATAAATGTATGAACGTTGGCTGCAAGGAAAAGGTCCTTCAAAGGCAAACGGAAGGACAATTTGAAAAGAAAAGGTCCTTCAATGGCAAAACCAAGGGCACTTTGAAGGCGAAGAGAAGCTTTGGTGGAAAAAAAGCCCTTCGTTGGGAAATGCAAGGGCACTTTGAAGGCAAAAGGCCCTTCGATGGCAAAGGCCCCTTCGATGGCAAAAGCAAGTGCACTTTGAAAGCAAAAAGGACCCTTCGATGGAAGAGGTAAAAACTCTTCGGTCGGAAAGGGCATTTTGAAGGCCCTTCGATCGCAAAGGCCTTTGGATGACAAATGCCTTTCCATGACAAAGGCAAAGGCACATTGAAGGCAAACGCCCTTCGATGGTAAGCAAAGGCAAAGTCTCTTCGAAACTGTAACAAAAGCAAAATGCCATTTTTTCACATTCATTCGAGTCTTGGTACACAGCAGGGTCGGAAGAAGTTGCATATTGCCAGAGAGTCTAGGTCGGATGATATGTTGCAGCGGTTAAAGCGATGGAGTAGTTTGAAGCATTATACATGTATGATCGTTGGCTTCAAGGAAAAGGCTCTTCGAAGGCAAAGAAAGGAAGGGCAATTTTAAAGCAAAAAAGCCCTTCGATGGCAAAGGAAACAACCCGGAGCACTTGGAAGGCAAAAAAAGTCCCTTCGAAGGCAAAAATAAAAGTGGCCTTCGAAGGCCAAAAGATAATGGGCAAAAAAGCAGTTCGAAGGCAAAGACCGTCCTGTTTACTCTGACTGAATCACTCGAGTCGTAGGGATGGTTGCATTACTAGATATTCTAGTTCAGAGGATGTTGCTGCGGTTAGAGCGATGGAGTAGTTTGAAGCATTGTATGGCGTGTTGGATTCAAGGAAAAGGCCCTTCGAAGGGGGAAGGGACTTTTTGAAGGCAAAAGTCCTTCGACGGCAAAGGCCTTTGGGATGGGCTTCGAAGACAAAAGAAAGTCTCTTCGAAAGCGAAGGCAAATATTATAGCCCTTCCAAAGATTAGGCCATTGTGAAGATAATGGCAAAAGCAATTCAAAGACAAAGGCAAAGGCCCGTCCGAAGACAAATTGTAAATGGCACGACTGTAACAAGCAAACATCCTCTTTATTCACAATAAGTTGAATATTATTGTACGGATTGTACTCTTTTTCACGATCCATCTTATACTCACGACCACTCGAGCCTGAGTTGGAACCTGGGATTTGTTGCAATACAGAGAGTCCATTTCGGAGGATGTGGCAGGGTTAAAGAGACTGAGAGTAGTATGAAGCATTATGCAAAGGCACTTTCAAGGCAAAGACCATTCGAAGGCAGAGACTCTTCAATGGCAAAGACTTAACTCTTCGAAGTCGAAGGCCAAGACCCTTCTAATGTAATAAAGGCCCTTCGGAGGCAAAAGCGAAAGGAAAAGCAATAGCCAATCGAAGACAAAGGAAAAAGACTTTTCGAAGGCAAAGAGCTAGGCATTTCGAAGGCGAAGACCTTAGTTTCGAAAGCAAACGAAAGTACAGTACTCCTTTTCAGCTCAAACAGGCAAACATCCTCCTTAGCTTACTCACGATCACCGTAGATCTAAAGGAAAAGGTAAATAAGTTGCGAAGGTTTCAAACAAAGAGCAAATGCTCAAGAGGATAAAGACTATACTGTGTAATAACACCACTGTCGTGCGATAGGGCTCTCAACAACGACCAAGTGGTTTAGTGGTAATGACTATAGGCTGTGTGTAATATACTATTGTGGTTCAAAGACCTTCAGAAGTAATTTTGTGATTCGAATATTAATTATAGAAGCTAGAGAAAAAATATATTAATATATATACGAGTATTTTATACGCAATAAAGTAGTGAAATGAAAACTATATGCCTAAAATTTCTTAGGATCTCATTGGACAAACGACATTCGCCACTAGTGAAGAACGCCGTATTGGCTTTCTCATTGGACGCGCGGAATTCGTCACTAGTGAAGAATCGCGTATTGACTTTTCCCGCCACTGGCGGCCAGCATTAAAATTCAACAAGAATTAGTTTCGTTTATGCATGGTCCGTTCGACTTTTAAAGGTCCAGACACACCGGACGCGATTTTTCGATTTTCACTGATCGATAACTTTGATCATATCCTAGTATAAAATTTCCAAATATTTAGAAGCGTTATAACATTATGAGTTATTTTGTCTACATATCTTTTAAAATTTCCTCTCATTGGCTGTTTTATTATATTAGCTTTTAACAAATAAAAAATCGCGTCGCGTTGTCGAATCGCGTCCGGACCTTAATTTTTAAAATGAACATCATGCAGGGAGAATAACAATACAAGAAAAAACACACTACACTTTGGACTTCTAGAAGAATTTTTATCGTTGAAAAATAAGAATCGAGGACATTTCCGTAGAGAAGATAATGAATACCTAAGCGAATTTGTTATTTCTATCCGTAAGAAAGAAAACAGCGGAGAATACGATTATACGAACCTACAAGTTCCCTATACGTTCTATGTTTGCCAGCTTCGAGAGGTACTTGAAGAAAAAGTTGTTGTAATAAAATACAAAACAATAGACACTACGAAAATTGTAAACATTTTTATTCTTCTTGTGTAAGTTGTTATATTGTTGTACTTTTGGATGGGAATTATATATTCTGGAAACGTTTAAATTGAATATAAATAGCCTAACCAACCAACTGCCTACTAAAAGAAATTTAAATAAACTACCCTGCATGTATGACATAGATTTCTTTAATTTGAATGTAAATTCTAGCACAAACCCTGATCGTAATTCTCATTTTGAACCTATACAAAGTAGATATTATTCACCTCATAGTTTTTCTTGCGCAAAAAAAATCATTGGAAAACCATCCTATATCCTTTCTTCATAACAACATAAGAAGCTTAAGACGAAATATTGATAACTTTCAAAATCATCTTTTGAGTGAGCTTGAGTTTAATTTTAGCATTATTGGGATTACCGAAACTAGAATAGGCAATACAGACACTTTAGACTTGGATTATAATATTCCAGGCTATCAGTTTGAATACGTACCCACGCCTTTGTCAGCAGAAGGTGTTGGAATGTATGTTAACAGTGAACTTCATTATAAAGTACTTGAGAAAACAACTAACGAGGCTTTTCAAGCCCTTTGGATTGAGGTACAATGTGAAAATAAGAAAAACATAATATGCGGAGTCCTCTATAGACAGCACAACTCCCCAGGGAGATTTCAAAATTATTTTGATGAGAGTCTGGAAAGATTTGGTTCATTGAACAAACTGTTTACATATTGGGTGATTTTAACATAAACCTCCTCCGAATTGAGACCTGTTCGTATGCTCATAACTTTTTACTTACAATGCAAAGTTATGGATTTAGTCCAACAATAGATAAACCAACTAGAGTTCACAAAGATTCGGCTACGCTCATTGATAATATTCTTATCAATAAAACAAATGGTTCAGTTCAAAGCGGTAATATTGTATCTGATATAAGTGATCATTTCTCACAGTTTTGTGTAATCTTATCAAACACAAGCAAGCTAACTAGGAGGAACACTGTAAAAAATCAATATCGTGATCTTTCACGTTTTTCAAAAAAAACTTTTAATAATGATCTTGCACAAATTGAATTTGATGAACCAAATGTGAACAATGCAAACAGTACTGATGAAATATTCTCAAATTTTTACACCAAAGTCAATAAAATAGTAAATAAACATGCACCTCTCTCAACATGTTCAAAGCGCAAATCTAAACAACTTCTCAAACCCCACGTGGATAACGACGGGCTTACTTAAATCAATACGAATTAAAAATAAGCTACTTTATTCTGGAAAAAAAGAAAAATATAAGCAATATAGAAACAAAATCTCAACGTTAACAAAATTAAGTAAAACAAATTATTATCATAATTATTTTTCTAACAATATAAATAATATGAAGAGAACCTGGCAGGGCATTAATACCTTGATTAATAATAAAAGAAGAGATAAACGTAACATATGTACTTTGAAAAGACCAAACGATGGAAGTGTCACAAACGATCCCACCAAAATTCCAAATTTAATTAACAGGCACTTTGCAACAGTTGGACAAAATCTCCCAAACCAATTGCCTAGCTCTAAGCATGACTTCCATGAATATCTAAAATATCCTTCTCCTACAAATTCATTTTACTTTGATGCTGTTACCCCTTTGGAAGTAGAAATGGAAATACTATTATTAGCCTACCTGCCAATAAGGCTCACGACTATATTCATTTGCAGCACCAATCCTTAAAGGCGCGAGAACTATTATTTCTAAACCGTTAGCAAATATTATGAATGTATCCCTCTCAACTAAAACATGCACAAATCGTGCCAATTTTTAAAAGCGATGACAAAGAAGAACCAGGAAACTATAGACCAATTTCGTTACTATCTAACTTAAATCGGATATTTGAAAAACTTATGTATAATAGACTAAAAATATTTATTGACCAAAACAACATATTATGTTCATCGCAATATGGATTTCGAGAGGGTCATTCTACAAATCATGCTCTCCTTGATATCGTGAACAAAATACAAACAAATATGGACAATAACCTTTTTTCGTGTGGTGTTTTCATAGATCTTCAAAAAGCCTTTGATACAGTTACCCATGAATGTTATATTTCATCCATACCAAAAAAGGTTAAACTATAAACCAAACTTAAAAGTTCACGACTATAAAACAAATACATTAATTTCACTGGAGCAAAAAGATTATGTGAAATATTTGGGTATTTTGATTGATAGTAACCTCTCATGGAGATTTCATATTGATCATATAACACTTAAAATAAGTAAAACTATTGGTATCATATCGCGATTGAGGCATTTTGTTCCTTTTCCAACACTTTTAAATATTTATCGTTCATTAATTCATCCATATACTTCATATGGTTTATCTGTATGGGGGCAGACAGCTAAGACGATTCTGGATAGAATACTGATTCTTCAAAAACGTGCTTTACGACTGATGTTCTTTGCAACAAACAGAGAACATGCCATACCATTATTTGTAAATGCAAATGTGCTACCGATAAAAATGCTTTATTATAAAACTGCGAGTATTTTGATGCACGACATAGCCAATACTCTAGCACCACAAAACCTATTAAAAATGTTTACAAATGTAAACCAGATACATAGTCACAACACAAGATCTGCAATTGGTGGGCCGGATATTATTTTACTCAGCAATCGAATCAGAATAAAAAAAAGAACTCATTCTCTCGACTCGGAACTAAAATTTGGAATGGTATCCCTAATGAATTACGGAACCGACGTAAATGTATTTTTAAAACAAAAATAAATGCAATACTTTTGCAGGTCTTGGAAAGCGATGATGTTTATGTTGATGTCACTACGATAATAACAAAGATAGAACATATAAGTTATTAAAAATATTTTTCTTCCTAGGCCGTTAATTAATTGTTGTTTATTTTCTTTTCTTTCTATTTTGCACAATAATGTATCTTTTCGAGACTGACTATGTACTATAAAATATATATTCTAATCAACACTATACTCGCCAAGATTAGTTTTTAACTACTTGCGGGTTAGTGTAGTGTGTAACTTGTTTGTTTTTAACTTGTAATAAATTGAATTGAATTGAAAAAATAACTCATAAAATAAACAAATTACTTCATGGTTGTTTCGCTTGTACGATTTTTATTATGCACTCTTTGTGAAAAATTCCTATAAACTCACTCGTTGGCTGCACTGTATATATCTGGCGAAGGTTGTGGCATGCAACCGAATGCGGTTGTGGCATGCAACTGTGGCATGCAGCGCTGTATATATCTGACGAAGGTTGTGGCATGCAAGCGAAAATTTAATGCACTAATTATATTTATATTTTACTTCGACATATATATATATATATATATATATATATATATATATATATATATATATATATATATATATATATATATATATATATATATATATATAGATATATATACTATATATATACTATATATATATAATATATATATATAATATATATATATACTATATATATATATATTATATATACTATATATATT